CCATTTCACCAAGCAATTACACTACTTGGAATATACCATAAAGAAACCGGGATTGCCACCCAAGCAGATATATGCTCACCCATCTTTACTACAGCTTTGTTCACAATAGCAAAGAGTTGGAAACAACTCAAGTGCCCATCAACAAATGAATGGCTAGAGAAGCTGTGGTATATTCACACAATGGAATACTATGCTGCATTGAAAAATAAGAAACTCATGAAATCTTTTACAAAATGGGTGACCCTGGAGGACATTATGCTGAGTGAAATATCTTAAGTCACAAAAGGACAAATACTGCCACTCACAAAATACTGCCAGTCACAAAAGGACAAATAGAGTCACTGTTGTAAAGTGGGACTGACATCAGAGTTGGGGGAAAACTAAGAGGGGATAAATAATGTATACTGCATTGAAACAGATGAGGGAGAGAACTGTTTAGGAGGAATATATGATAAGGTATTATTGTCATGACAAGAGTCCAGAATGAAAGCTACACAGTGGAGTAGACTGGGTGAGGTGGATTGTATAACAATGAATGAATGAATGAATGAATGGATGATTTATTTATTTATTTATACTTTTCAAAGAGAAAAGCGAACTGGGGGGATAGGTGGGCAAGAAGGAAAGTGTGAAACTATGAATGATGGAAATCCAAAGTCTCTGTAAACTCTCATTAAAATAAATTTTTAAAAGGGGGAAAAAGCACAACAACAACAACAAAAAAACCCAACAACGAATGAATAGAGAAGCTGTGGTAAAGTCACACAATGGAATATTATGCTGAACTGGAAAAACAAAGAACTCATGAATTATTATAGAAAATGGGTGACCATGGAGGACATTATGCTGAACGAAGTATCTCAGGCACAAAAAGACAAATGCTGCATAATGCCACTGTTATAAAACAGGACTGAAATGGTTTTTAGGGGGAAAACTAAAAAAAGAAGAGATAAATAATGTACTCAGTATTGAAACAGACGAGGGAGAGAACTGTATAAAACGAATATATAATTAGGAATTATTGGCATGACAAGAGTCCAGAATAAGAGCTGCATAGTAAAGTGGACTGGGTGGGGGGACAGTATAACAACAAAAGAATTCTTTTTTCCCTAAGAAAAAAGTGAACTCGGGGGAGGGAGAGCAAGGAGGGAAATGTGCAACAATGAATGAATGGAAATCCAAGTTCTCTATAAACTTTCATTAAAATCTCAATAAAATAAGAAAAAATAAAGTGTCTTTAAGCTGTTTTAAATTTAAAAGAAGAAAGAAATGGTAATGCTGACTAAAACACTATTATCACTCACTTTGGTCAGGATTTCTGAGTTATTTTAGAAGAAAACATGTAGGTATAATTAACTAATCTCAAAGTCAGTATTATCTCTTCTAATTTTGATCTTTTTCTCAAAAGTAATTTTGTATTGATTTATTTGCTATGTTGCTATGTGTTTTACTTAAAAAAATTCTCTTTGTGAGCAATCTGAAGTCGTGGAACTAATGATAAAAATTATAAATTTTCTACAAGAATAGCTTACTTAAAATCAAAACAGCTTCTGAGGATTAACATGTGCTGATTGCACTTTTTGTCTCTATTTAGAGAATATTACTACTAATAAAATTGTTAGACCTCTGCAGTTAAAGAACAGATTCATATACAGATGATTCATGAATGGTAAAGCCATTACAAGAAAGTTTGCTGGACAAAGGATGTTCACACAAGTCTGTATCACCTAACTTAAGTTTCTATAAAGACTGATGAAAACACTGGGATAGATGTTGGTGACTATCCTACAATACGAGGAAGACAGTCAGTGCTACTTATGCATGTGAAAACAGCTGGAATGAGAAATGTTTTGTTATATATATTCTAAAATATAACATTTTTTTAAAAAAATCAGAGACCACCACCAAAAAAACAGAAAGACAACCAAAAAATGGCAAAAAATATTTTGCAAACCATTTTTCTGATGAGGAACTTGTATCTACAATATAAAAATACCACAACTCAGTAAGAAAAACATAAATAACTCTATTAAAAATGTGCAAGGAGCCAAATAAATAATTCTCCAAACAAGCTCCAAAAATAGTCATTAAGCACATGAGGAGAAGCTCAACATCATTAGCCAGAGAGAATTCTAAATCAAAGCCTTATGTAGATACCACTTCACACCTGTTAGGATGGCTACAACAATAAAAAACATTAACAAAAACACATTTGGCAAGGATGTGGATAAAGAAAAATTCTTCCACACTTCTGGTAGGACTGTGAAATGGTGCAGTCACTTTTGAAAACAGTGTGGCATTTTCTCAGTTACCATATGACTCAATAATTCTACTACCAGCTATATATCCAAGATGGATGCACAAAAACCTGTGTACAAATGTTCATAGTAGTATTAGTTTCATAGCCAAAAACCAGAAGCAATGCAAAGCTCCATCAATTCATACTAGGATAAATATATTCTATCCACACAGAATATTATTCAAGAGTGAAAATATATGAAATACTGACTTATGCTACACATGAAATCTGAAAATATGGTAACTTAGTCACAAATAAAGATGCCAGTCACAAAGGACCGCTTTATTATATAACTCCTCTCATAAGAATGTTCAGAATAAACAGCTCTGTGGTACAGTAAATTCTGTAATTTGGCCTTTCTACCCGCAGTTCTCCATTTTTTTTGAAACTTTATTTTATTTTATTATTTTGTGTGTGTGTGTGTGTGTGTGTGTGTGTACTGTCAAATTTGATCAGACAGTACAGGAGGAGACTGCCCCTCCTTCTCCAGCAGAGCATCTGGTGGATTTGAATCTGGGATTGCAGTGCAGCTTCTTGCCAATAGGCCACCAGACCTCCCTAGTTCTCCATTTTTAAGTGCTTTGTAAATCCTAATCTAGTGGGGTATATCCTGAGCCACCACCTAATGAGAGGGTGTGATTCAAATCAGTACCCTTAGTTCACATGAGAATATACTCTGTATCTACTCTACATGAATGAGCTGGTAAAATTCTCTACTTTGCTCTGGATCCAGAATCTGGCTCATTTTTCTATTCTAATTTTTAGACCCTGAGAGAGAAACCTACATTTTTATCATCTGATCTGATTTGCCCGATTCTGGAGCCTTGCCTGCCAGCAGCCTGGTTCTTGACCTGCCAGTTTGGGTTTATCAGCTCCTGCAACCACATGAGTGAGGAGAATTCTCCAGAGTGATCACAGCCCATGGATTTGGGACTTGTCTGCCTCCGCAAACTTGGGAGCCTTTTTCCTAACAACTGAGCACAACAGGTCTCAAAAGGCATCAAGCCTACCAAGACAGCCTCACTTTTCAATGATGTACTAGAAGGCACAAGTGGCGTCAGACCCATTATGCACTGTTGCTTTTCTACTTCCTAAAGCCCCTGGAGAAGCCATTTCATAGTGAGTTGAGATAAAGGCCCTAATGTCCCTTCCTTTCCCGGAGTCTCAGCCACTATCCTCAGACACCTCCACTCTTACATTCTTTTCACAAAATCTGTGGATACTGAGTATCAGAAAAGTGTTTGCATTGTTGTATTGGCCCTGTAAAGGCATTTGACTGTGTGGATAATAATAAGTTATAGATAGCATTACAAAGACCAGGAATTCCAAAACACTTAATTGCACTCATGCAGAACCTGTAAATAGATCAAGCAACAGTCATTTAAACAGAACAATGAGATACTGTGTGGTTTAAAATCGTGAAATGTGTGTGACAAGGTTTCACACCTTTCACTACACCTATCCATCTATACACTGAGCAAATAATCCCCAAAGCTGAACTATATGAAGGAAAACTTTCTCTATGCAGACAATGAAAGCTAAAAGGACTGGAAGCATTTACTGATAGACTGAAGACTACAGCATTCAGCATGGATTACACCTCAACACAGAGAAAGCATAAGTCCTCACTACTGGGTCAGCAAGCAACATCACAACAGATGAGGGAAACAGTAGTTGCCAAGAATCTCATTTTACTTGGATCCACAATCAATGCCTGTGAAAGCAGCTGTCAAGAAATCAAATGACATACTGCAAAGGGAAAATCAACTGCAAAGGATCTCTTTAAAGTAGTAAAAAGCAAGGATGTCATTTTGAGGACTAAGGTGCACCTGATCCAAGGCACAGTGTTTTAAATCTCTGCATATGTATAGAAAAGCTGGGCAACAATGAAGATCAAAGAAGTGATGCATGTGAATTTTGGTTCTGGTAAAGAATACTGAATATACCATGGATCACCAGGACAGACATGTCAGCCTAGGAGGAGGTACAGCCAGAAGCCGGGATGGTAAGATTTCATCTCCCACACTCTGAACATGTCATCAGGAGGGGCCATTCCCTGGAGAAGGACCTCATGCGGGTAAAGGAGAATGTCACTGAAGATGAGAAAAGGTCTCAAAGAGATGCACTGATACGGGGGCAACAAAACCAGGCTCACTCATAGCAACAATTCTGAGGACAGCTCAGCACCAGGCAGTGTGTCATTCTTTTGTAAACAGGGCCACTGAAGGCCAGAACTCAATGGCTGGCACCTCAAAACAATAGCATAGAAACTGAGAGCAGAATAAGATTTGTTTTCAGTGGGAGGAGGGAGACATAGGGGAATAACTGTTGATGGCTATGGGTTTCTTTTCAGGGTGATAATATTCCAACACTGATTGTGGAGTTATGAATATTTAAGAACCACTGAATTGTACATTTTAAATGGGTAAACTTGATGAAAGCTATCTGAAAATGTCAAAGTGAAAGAAGGCAAAAACAGTAAAATATTAACAACTGGTGAATCTAGGGGAAGGGCTATGGGTACTCTATTATTCTTTCCATATTTCTGTGTATGTTAGAAATTTTTCTAAACAAGCTGTGGAGGAAAAATGTTAAAATAATGTAGTCTGCAAAAACTAACACTGACATCACGTAACAAAAGTCAAACTTTTTCTCAGTGAGTGAATTCTCCTTCACTAGGAAGTTACCAAAATCACCGAACAACAATCCAGCGAGGCAGAAGCTGATCCTGGAGACACCCACCTGGCTGGGATGTGTCAGTCCATCCCCGCTTGGCTCGCACACAATAATCCCATCTTGTATTGGGGTCCTTGACAAATCTTCCAATATCTCTGAAGAGTTCGCAAAAAGACATCTGGCTGGCTTGATAGACAGTATAGTAGAGCAGAGCAGCTCTCCACAAAAACGGGTCTTTTCTGAAGAGGACACTGTGAATACTTGCCAGTCCTTCTTCAGTGGGGTTGTTTGGCTTTAGCTCATGTTTTCTGCGGCCAGTCCAACTGTTCCATGGCTGCTGGAGGTTGTTTATACCTCGGAAATAGTGTGTGCCTGGGGAGGAGAAAATACACAACAGATGCCATTCTCATTTGAATTCTTCTCAAACTAAGAATTTTATCAACAATTCGAAAATTCAACTGATGTGTGGCTGCAAAGCAAAACCAAACAGGAAATGACCTGATCTTAAAGACTCTTTGGTCTGAGTACTACTGTCAGAAACAACCTGTCCTTTGCAACAACTTTTAATGGGAAGAATGACACACTTAATATTTAAATCACAGACTTAAAATAATCTTACAAAAGAGCTAGTGGATTTGAACTACCACCTTTTTTAGTTAGCAGTACACTACACAGCACACTATCAGGACTCCTTTGGAAAAAATCTTGCTGTTATTAGATATTACTGCATCAGCTCCAATGCAGAGCAAAAAAAAACCCCTGCCCAATATTGTTCCATCCTTACAATCTCTGCTGTAATTAATCCTCACTACTGCAGTTACGGTGTCACACCATCTCATCACTGGACTTCTTCCTTCTGCTAACCCTTTTACATTGCATTCTCCAGGGACTGACCCCTCCTGCTAACATCCCCAAAGTCTGTGAGATGATGTGTCATCTTTGCTTCTAAGGAGCACTGTGGCTACACTTCTTTCAAGACAGATTCACTCATTCTTTGGTTAGTCCAATGTATATTCACTATTCTTTGCCAAAACCAGAATTCAGAGATATCAATTCTTTGATCTTCCTTATTCATTGATTAAATTTCACCTGGAAACAAAGCAACTGAAAATATCAAGAAGAGGACCCCAGGGAACACCTTAGTCTCTGAAATGAGATCAGCATTTTAAGAGGTCCTTGAGAACACATTTATCCAATTACACATTGTTCAACTTTTATGATTGCTGCTTCCACAGGTACAGACTGAGGCTAAGTTAAATGAAATCCCTGACAACTTCAATCTTTTCTCTATTTGTAATGATGATGTTTATTGGCCCAGTTGTGAGGACTTTGTGGGTTGTTTATGTTTTTGTTTTTGTTTTTGTTTTATGGAGAGGGGTAACCCTGCTGAAGACTAAAGTCTCTGAGTTTTATCAATAAATGTTCCAAGTCTTCTTTCACAGCAAGTAAGATTATTGCACTTGCATATCACAGGTATACCAGCTCCACTGAGTATTTGCTCAGTGTACAGACTAAGTAGGTTGGAAGGGTCAAACCCTGACACACACTTAACCTGGTTTTAAACCATGTAGTATCCCCTCATTCTGTTTGAATTACTGCTTCTTAGTCAGTGAAAGAATTTTACAGAATACTATAATCCAAGGAGCTAAGATTTTGAAATCACAACTCAGAGGTTAAAAGGTTTTTCAAGCACTGTGACGCAGGTGTGTCAAATGGTAGACAGTGGTTGGTGGAGCTCCCCGATTAAAACAAGCTTGGAAGCAGGAGTGGCATCCACTTCCGAAATAGCTTGCCTCCAGAAACTCTATGAACTTAGAGAAACGATGCAAGTTACACAAGTGTTCAGGTCTTTCATTCATAGGGTCACTATGAGTCATCTAAAACTTAAAAACAACAACAACAAATACAACTAAGGAGTTGTAAATAGAGAAAGGGGTACACGGGAATGGCTGTGTCTAACCTTTACCAGTTCCACAAAAGGGAACTGTCCTTGTCAACCTCATCTACAACACAAAACCAATTCCTAAGAGGTCAGACATTACCCCTTATGCTTCTGCACCTCTTTCTACTCATCCCAAAACTTACCGCTTTATGGGGTCCAAAGTCCATCACAATAGCTCATATACCACACAGAACCATATTGGGGAAGTCTAAATGCTACAATCCAGGTTAGTAGCAGAATATAATCAGTCAGTCAGAATAGTTTCTGAAACATTTTTCTACATGCCTCAGCTTTCAGCCTCACAGCTTTAGTCTCTACTACTGCCAATAATGGCTCTTCCAACAAATTTGGGCAAAAGGCTCTTAGGTCCAGTTCCATGGCAAAGCAGAACCAAAGTCAGCTCTGTCTCATGTCAGGTCTCTGTTTCTCTGCTGCTAGCTGCTATGGCTGCCATTCTTGTAAATCCTGGTCTGACTGGTGCCAAAATCTCTGGCCCTGAAGAATATGCTACATTCTTTTGCTCCTTCTTTGCTGGTGGTGAGAGTCTCCAATTCTAGTGCTGGGTCCACTCAATTTAATGGTGAGGCCAGCCAATACCCTTGTGATAGGCTAACACACCTATTTGTATATTCCTACTCATCCACATGGCAAAGTCTAACTCACTGGCTAGCAAAGCCAATTTGAACAACAAACTCAACACCACAGGAGTGTCCTAAAAATTCCAGTTTGAAGTGATATAGTAATGTATTATCTTTAGTCCTGGTGAATCATAACAAATTCACAATTTTTTGCCAAGCAGTATTAAGAACAAACTCTTTACCAAAAAATCATTTCTTAAATGCCAATTCTCAAAATGACAAACAGACGGAAAAGGGTTGTCCTTACCTATTTCATGCCTCAGCATGCCCTCCAGCCAGTGTTCCCGTGCAGTGGACACATTGATGGTCAGAGTTGGACATCCATTTACCACCGTCATTGAAGCTCGGGAAAGCAGGTCCTCAGTGAGATGAACTACAATCTAACGAACAAGAGGAAAAAATACAATATTTAAATAAAGTGTAAAATCTTTGACAGAAAACAATGGACCCATGAATTAACACTTTTTTGGTGTTGTTTATCACCACCTATAAATCTTCCAGAAACCATAGAGACAAAATGCAGAGGCAATCTTACCTCTAACTCTTTCAATGTCAAGTTTTTGGGAACCTAAGAACTTTCTTTGGGTTTAAGTAGATAGTTGTGCTAAAGGAGGAGTGAGGACTTGGAATGATATACCTGGTGTGTTCTCAAATATAATGCAAGTCACGGTACAGAAGCCAGAGCCTTGTCCACTGTAGTTGTTCGTGGCTTATTTTTCCCTTATTACTAAGAATTTTGAATTGTAGTGTTGACAAAGTGTAACAAATATCCCACAGAGTTCCAAAACAACAAGTCTGTCTTAGAAGAAACCAGGGTGCTCCTTAGAAGCACAAAGGTGAAATTTCCTCTCACATACTCTGGGCATGTTGTCAGGAGGTGCCAATCCTTAAAGAAGACTTCATGTTAGGTATTACCGCATTGGCTCCAATGCATAGAATCAGACAAAGAGAGGAAAACCTCCAACAGGATGGACGGCTATAATGACTATAACAATGAACTCGAACTTATCAGGATAGGGCAAGGCACAGATCTGTTGGTCACAGGGCCAGTGTGCGTCATAATAGACTGGATGGTAACTAGCAACAACAACTAACTTTTGCAATCTGAAATTGATCAAACATGCAGTCAAGATTGATAAAAACTGGGAACTGGGGTGCAGTGTCTTTAACAATGAGCGTGAGCATATGAGAGAGGTGAACATGGTTCAGGACAGGGCAAGGCTCAGCTCTACTGTTCATCGGGTCACTATGAGTTGTAGTGGACTTCAACAACTACTAATAAGAGAGACTATCAGGGCAAATCCTTTATTAATAATTCTCCTACAAGCAATAATTGTGCTCATGTGAAACCTACACTTGGACCAGGAAGCAGTCATCATAACAGAGTAGGGAAACACCACATGGTTCAAAATCAGGAAAGAAGAAGGGAAGAGGGTCAGTGCAAGACAGGAAGACCCTGGAAGAGAGAGATGGACTCAGTGACTGGGGTAATGGGGATAGGTGTAATGGAGACAATGACACTGGCTCAAGAGATGGCAGGGTTCAGAGCTACTGTACATGGAATTTCTGTAAGTTGCAGACAATTAGACAGCATGTAACAAGAAGAGAAAAAAAAGAAATGGCAGTAAGAAACGAAGAGGTGGAACACACTGAGTACAAAAAAAGTTTTATGGAATAAGAACTTGGGAGGCAGTATTTAATGAGACTCAGGGTAGCAAATTTATTAAGTAGGGCTGGGGAAACAAAACCTTCCAGAATAAAGCCCCACATATCACAGATGGAGAGTGAAGTGTCCATCTCCTCCTCAGGTGCTCAGGAGATTCGTACCTCTCCCAGGCACCCCTCTTTCATCATGTACTTCCTGACGTGACTCCAGATTCGAGTCTTAGATAGCAGACTACCACCAGTGGCCTGTTCAAATTTTTCATAACTTCCATATTTCTGCAAAGTTAGCTCCATAATATTGATGGACTGAAAAAGAAAAAAAGATAAAATTATGAAAACAAAATGCTTTGTGTAACAGACTATTTTGTTACGTAACATGACCCATTTTGCATTTACTGCTGCCTTCCAAATCAAACTGTGATTACGCTCACATATCTTTTCAGTTCTAAACAGTTTTCTTTAATTTTCACAAACTCTCTGTACTTAGAAATCCTCCTTTTCCATCAATATGAGCCCAAGACAAGGGATGAAGTGCTACACACACTGTTAACATCGGGCAGGTTGAGAAGCTGGGGCAGAGAGGTTTCTCAAAAATCACCTAGACATTTGCCAGAACCCAGACTGGAAAGCATGCCTTCATCCCATTCACTGTATCAAAATTACTGTTTGGATAGAAAAAAAAAATCCAAAGTTTTAAGAGTCAATCAGTCTTCTGTGACAATCCTGTAAATTCTAATGTTTTCTTATTCTTTTCAGAAAATGATCTCAGCATTGCAAAGAACATTTTCATCTTTTATTAAAGGCTGTCAATTTCTCATTCCTCATAAGTTTTCACATGAAAGTCAAGATCTTTTTCTCTGAACACAGACGCAGAATCAAAGGCTTAATGAGAAAAAGCCCCCTCATGATAAGATACAGATCAGCCTCTATGAGCAAGCCTTGACACATCTTCACCTAAATGAAACGAACCTAACGCCACTATCATCAAAGTAATCCCCCCGGTGGCCCCGTGATCTGCCTTAAGGATAAGATGTTCTTCAAAGGCCTTGTGGCAGAGAAGTTAAACAATTCATATACTATTTAGATGAATTCCACAGTCTTTGAACTGTCATCAATATAGTAAAGAGATTAAATGTGTACATTTGAAAATGAGGTTACCTGGGTCTGTTACTTTCTGATGAAGTTATCCTGATCAAGTCACTAAACTTGCTATTCCATCTCCCCATCTATACCAACAAAGCTCTGGTAGCCTAGTGGGTAAGGAGTTGTGCTGTCATTCCAAAGGTGAGTGGTCTAAATCCACCAGCTGTTCCAAGGGAGAAAGAAAGGCAAGAAACCTACCTACTGTTTTTGCTGAGAAAATTTAGGCAACATTTGTAAAGCACCATGTCTGAGACTACTAGTAAGTAGTACATGTTAACTATCACTACATCAACATCACTGTCCTCATTAGTATAGTAACACAGTAAAACATGCATAAGAGAAAAGGTGCAGAAAATAATGTAAGTTAAAATTTAACAATATATTCCCACTAGGAAAAAATATTCCCACATCACCAAATTAGGCAGGTACAATGTCATCAACCAAAAAATATGCCTTGGTAGACTGTACATTAACTTTTGGTCCCAAAACTATTATTTAAAATAAAAGCCTTGAAATTCCAAGTGTGACCGAGAGGCTAGCAACACTGCCATCACCTGGCAGCTTGCTTCAAAAGCTCCCCAACACTCTAAAACCTTCAGATTTAGAATGCATTTTAACATGCTTGCTAAGTGATTTACATGCTCAGTAAAATATGGAAGGATAGCTGAGCACAGAGAATAGCTCAAGCACACCAGAGAATGACTTATATATATATGTAAATCAGAATAATTAAAACACATATTAGCATTATTAAAAACTCATTATAGCAGCTTAATAAAAAAGTTATGCATCCATCTGTCTGTTCTTATGTGTTGTCCAGTCACCTGCTACTCATAGCAACCCAATGTACAATAGTCCTAAACCCTACTCTATCCTGTGCCAATCTTAATTGTCTCTGACACACCTACTCCCATTACCTCAGTCACCAAGTCAATCCATCTCATTGAAGGTCTTCCTATCCTGCACTGTCCCTCCATCCTCCCAAGCATGACGTCTGTCTAGTGACCACTAATAAACAACCATCAAGTAGAATCCAGTTCAGAATGGCTCTTAGGGCAGAACAAAACAAACCCACAATCTTTCCAAAATCACAATTTTTAAAAAATTTTTATTTTGTATTGGTTTTCTTACAAAGTTTTTATATATAGTGTTTCACACTGTTCTTCATTTTACATTGTGTTTAATACAATCATTCGCATTCACTGTGTTTTATAAAATTAATTAATTAATTGGCCTATGCCCACCATTGCCCTGCCTTTTCAGGTCTCTGCCAGATCTTTCCCATTTTCTTTACCCCTCCTCATCTACCGAATTGTGCAACTCTGTGATTTTACTCCTACCCATCCTCACTCCTCTGCTCTCTCCCCTTGTCCTCCCTTGGATCCCCATACACATTTTACAAAAGAATACTATGCAGCACTCAGGGGCAACAATTTAGAAAATCACTACCTAACTTGAGAGAGACTGGAGAGCACTATGACGAGTGAACTAATTGAGTCGCATAAGGAAAAACATTGCACAAGAATAACCAAGATCACAAATTTTTACAGAACCAGACTGCTACGTTTTCTCTCACAGAAGGGATGGTGGGTTCAAACTGTCAACTTTCTGGTCAGCAGTCAAAGTTTAAAACACTGTCCCACCAGGGTCCCTTAAACCCTAATCATTCATATAGTGAGAAGAATGGGATACATTAGACCTTCACAATCATAGAATAGGAGGAGTGGTATTATCTGTAAGGGACCAATATTTAGATCTAAAAAGGATTTAAAAAAATCTATTACAGCATCTGATTATATTATTTTTATTTACTTAAATTTGGATAAAATTAACTTTTCTCACTGAGAAGAAAAATGATTATTTGGTTACTCTTTTCCATTTCTAAAACAGTCCAATGAATTAAGAAAACCTCAAGTAGAGATCATCTTTCTTCTCACAGGTAATTGATATTAGTACATGTGAACAAATTCATAATGGGGAGCAAGAAAGTTGACTGGCAATTACACTGAAAAGGTGCCCTGAAAATAGAAGATTAAAAAAACCATACCTTGACAATATAATATTTAGACAAGATTTATACCTATGTACTAATTATGACCCATAAAGAAGGCACACTTCAGAATAAAGTTGCACCCAAACATCTACTATAAAATATGTAAAAACTCTCAGAATATGTGGGTGGGAAAGGATAAAAATTATTATTAGGAGAGACATTCTTAAACCACTCTGTTTTCTAGCATTTTGTTTGCTGTGTTTTAAGGAGGGTTTTTTCCAGCATTATTTTTTATGATTTGTGTAGAAATTCATGAAGCATATTATGTACTTTTATTTGCTTTTACTGTTCTTGTGAATATAAACAATAGAATAAACACCAACTCAAGTGTCTACTCATACAATGCAGTGGCACGGATTACATTCTTTAGGGAGTGGCATAGTCTATAAGAAGCTGCACTATTAGCCCAGAGGCCTCATCTCTGTTTATTTGACTCTACCAGCCACTCAAAGGGAGAAAGACGTGTCATTTCCTCTGGATTCATAGTCTCAGAAACCCTGTGGAGGGTCAGCTCAGAGTCAGTTTCAACCTGATGGCACTGAGCTGAGATGAGGGTGATTACACCCTGAGTGATGCAACCATTTTTTCCCTTTCTGAGTTGTTCCTCCCCTATTAACATTAAACTCTCTGCTCCCTAAGTGTCCCAAATTAAGCTTACAAATTGCTGTTGTCATTCTGATCCTATAAAGACAAAATTCAAAAGGGCACAATGCTCACATCACACTAGTGTTTGGATTTAAGACAACTTAAAAGGATACTTTTTGGTTTAAGGTTTAAAGGTTATTATCCCAGGACAATAGTTTCAGAAGCTCATCTACCTAGATTCCATGAGAGTAAGAAATCTGGATTATATTAGAAAATCTGGATTCCATGGGAATCTGAAATTATGCTTTGCTTTTAATCCTTCTGATCAAGATACTTCCATAGAACCTTTGATCAAAATAGTACTAAGCCTGACACCACAGAGTTCCAGTCTCATGGCAAAGGGGGCAGTTGTTTTAAGGCAGCAATTAGCCATATATTCTTATCCTCCTCCTGTTCCTGACTCTTCCTTCCTGTTGCTCCAGGTGAACAGAGACCAACTTGTGCCTTGCGCAGCCCTTTCGAGCTTTCAAGACATCAAACACAGTCTAATGAACTAGGTGTGTAAGAGAAGCTCTAAACAGGTTATTAGGCGCCAATTAACTGGGACGTCTCATGAGACTATGACTTTAAACCTCCAAGCCAATGAACCAATGCAGTTTGGACAGACATAGGGAGTCTCAACTGCTACCTTTTTTTTTTTTTTCTTAAATTTGGTCAATGTATCTACCATACAAATTTTGCTAATGTTAACTTCTTCCAAGGACACAATTTATTAACAGTAATTACATTAGCCAGTTGTATAATGGTACCCTTCACCAATCTGACCTTTCCCATATTAAATGTGAGCTTGGTGAAAGTCAAACTTGAAAGGTTTTCTCTCTAGTCACTACTGTCAATGCGCTCAACACTTTTACAATCTCTTTAAATAAGTCAGCCAGTCTCTTTAGCTTTCCAACTTCTTTAAGAAAACTTTACCTTGCTATTTGAGTGGACATTTACTCAACAATCCATACTTACTTTGTTTCAGGACATTGGCTGTAACCTACAGAACTTAACAGCTCTCTTCTCATTCCTTTCTTATCTATCTGCCTTTCCTAGCTTTACAGGCTAACACTAACACTACTCTTCTGATATCCTAGCCTGACTGTTCTAAGGACTGACTTCTTCCATGAGGTTACTGTTAACTCTACAAGCCTCATGGTTTTGGCTCAAAGCTGAGCCACAGGGGGAGTTCAGAGGTTGTGTTGCTAACCTCTCTGGCGGTTTGAACCCTCCAGTGACTCCACAGAATGAACACAGGTAATCTCCTTTTGTGCAATTTACAGCCCCAAAAACCTAATGGAAGATCAGCTCATGAGATGGTTCCAACTCCACAGCAATGAGTATGAGTTGTTGTAGTTGTTGTTGATTGCCTTTGAGTCCAGCACAACTCACAGCAACTCTATGAACAAAAGACTTGAAGCCCCTTTATAAATATCAACATTTATCAAGGTTCATAGGGTTTCTGGAGGCTTATTATTTAGGA